ACACACACACACACACACACACACACACACACACACACACACATATATATTGAATTATTGTACTTCTCTTCAACATTTGATGATTTGTCAAGAGTCAAGAGTAACTCTTATCATCTGACTAGCTTTTTAAGTAGTTTCATCATTGCTTAAGCAGCCAATGCTAGCTTGTGATGATGTCATAAATATGTTTTCTGAAAAGAGATATAGATGAGATTTGATTTATTGTGACATATTTGCATTTTGTAGTATTTGAAGATGTATATCGTGTTTACTATTATTTAATTTGTTTTTTTTGCGTCCGCCTTCTCATCTTTAGCTTGACCACGACCTAACAATTTAGCCAACGAGTCCCAAATTCCTCCCAGGAACAAGGCACAGAATAAATTTTCAAATGGCACAAATGGGTCATGAATACCAAGCAAAATTGATGATATCTAAAAAATTATATTATTGTTAATATTATTTTACTTTACGCATGTCAAATGTATAAATTTAAGGAGATATTTCAGGATATAAACTTTACCTTGAAGTAGACGAAGAAGGTGACAATGCCAAAGTATACAAGAGCATGAGGTGCAGAAATGAGATCAGTCTTTTTATCTAGCACAAAGATAATTGATGCAACCATGGACGCTTTTGTGGGGCTATAAAGAAAAGTTATCATTTATTATCATTACATTTATCTGCCAATTAAAAATATGATTATGTATAATCCATTTATAATCTAAGTATTTATAATCTAAGTATTTATTCATGTAAATATTATGACTTTTACATACAAACTGGGTTGCAAAAATTCCATCGCGGTCGGTGTCCATACACCACGTATAAGACGCTCAAATAATTTTGTAAATCCAGCTCCATTACCTGTATAAATGTTATAATTACACTGTTAATATTTAAATATATTGATTTGTTTTATAGCATGCGTTCACATGGTTTAGTTGTAAAGATAATGTATATATTCCATCTGATACATGTTTTATGACCAACCTTTGAGCGTGCCAATCAATATCATAATAAGATATGCATTTGGATAAAGTTTTCCTGCATGAGTCACTCCATCGTATACTTTTTTACACCTATAAAAAAATAGCATAGGTAATTTAATTTGTATGCATTGACATCTTATTTTAAATTATTCTTATATTCTTTGTCATATACAAGCTCTTATAAATATATGGTGGAACAAAAGATATCTTAAAAATTGACAAGTAATGATATTTACTTGCCTATATATTTCCTTCATAGCAGCACATATTAATTTTACCGGTAAAAATTTAGCTACTTTATAACCGATGTCGAACGGTGTGTAAAATATCACATACCTGAAACATTTAGAAAAGTTCTTTTAATGACGCGAGTAATTTCATTTTTTTAATGACATATACGTACATGACTAATTTTTTTTCTAATTTTAAAAAGAAATAGATAATTATTTCTTCAGTAATTTTTGTAAAGTTCACATAATTGCAGATAAATAATAGATTTTACGAAATACAAAGCATTACAACAAGCTACTTTGATATTACTGACCAAACAATAGTTGCAACTACCACTTGTGGTGTATTTTTTAAAGGTGCAAGAATTGGTTCTCCTAATAATCCATTGCACAGCATACCGCTTGCAAAAACGACCAACATTGTAGACAGCCAACATGATAGAGGATGTTTGCGAGAAAATACTTGTGCACCTGAATAATATAAGATATTATAATTATTATATATTATATCCCGAAAATTTAACATATATATAAAATTAAATTTTATGACATTTATGATTTATGATGGCGTATATTTTAAACAGAAAATGAAAAAGAGAATTATCTGAAATTACATCTACAGTATCTACACTATAGTATAATTTCTTTAGTATTTGTAAAATGTTTTCAGAAAACACCGTTAAAAAATTGTTAAGCTATATGTGACAGATATAAAATTTTATTACGGTGTGGCATGTTGAAAACGAGTTGAAGGTATATATATGCTGATTGGGATAAGTCAGTTAGGGAATCCTTATAAGTAAATCTATATAATACATCCTTACAACACATTCCATATATGCGAACTCATTATCAGAGATGTGTAACTAACCAATGAAAATAATGATATATTGCATCAAGTACATTTAGAGAAATTTAAAGTGATTTGAAGAAACCATGAATTTCTGTTGAATTTCATGTTTATACCCTTTATCGCATTAGAAAATTAGTTTAAAATCTATTTCTTAAAGAAAATCGATCTCTTTCATAATACTAACGTAATATTAAATTAACTAAAAACGAATATTGTAAAATTGAAGCAAAGAGTTTATTGCTCCTGTTCTTATTTATTACTATCTTAAGTTGTCTACAATTTTTTTTGAATAAAAAAATAATTCTTTATTCTTTATAAAATAGTCTGATTCAAATTTTATGGTAAGTTTAAGAATAGCAGTTTGTAATAAAAGAGCAAGATTTAACGTAATAAACAGATAATCCTCTATTAATGCAAACTGGCAAAGAGCATGTTTTAGAGAAGCTGCTTCCGAAAGAACCTTTATTTTGAATACTTCTGGCTTTAACTGTGTACGTGCGGGCACGGTGCATACTGAAATAGATCAGCTGGGTTGTCTGTGTCATTGCATTGAGATATAGAATTATATGATAATTGTGCCAAGCAGTGAAATCAGCTTTTGATTCCTAATCAACTTTGATTTTGATATGTCTCTTAATAATGCATTACTTCTCTCTCTTTTGCATATTATATTCTATTAACATTTACCATGATCTCTTTCCTCAAATAAATACAGGATGCCAATCGAGAAATTGTTAAAACCGTTGTCATTTTGTATAACAAAAATGGAAAGAATAGTAAATTAAACATTATTCTACCGAAGAAATGAGTCATTTTGATTATCACATAGTACAAAATATTTTAGGAAGAAAAGATCCTATAAACATATGCCCTAAATTTCTTCGTTTTCAAAATATAGCTACAGAATATCCCCTTCAATTTTTTGTACTTATACTTAGAAAATACCCTAAAATTTTTTCTTCTTTTGATCATAATGATCAATAAAATAGAAAATTTTTTTGATATACTCAAACTACAATTTCTAGTATACATATGTATATATATCAAAAGAGATTAATTCAAAAATTTAAAATATAAAATAGGCATATTTTTAAGTGATAATTATGAGTATATGATAGTTATAAAACCGAATTATAAACCGCCATGTAAACGTAGTCAATGTCACTGAATCATGTAACCAGTCAAATATAGATATGTATATATACATATACATTCATTTTTTAATTATTTATTTTCACAAATTTATAAACGTACATTCTTTTGGCACTGTGTGCTAATAAAAATAACGGCTTCTTCTGTAAAGCAGAGTTAAATTTAATTCCATCCATTCAAAATAACAAATATTTAGTATGTCTCTCCCCTACAAAAAATCAAGCACATATACAGAAATTGAGTGTTCTTTATATGCTAATTATGTGCTCTATTTACGATTTTTGTGTTCGAGCAGTTTAGCGGGAAATCGCAATTGAAACTGAGGGTGCTGATTTAACGTAAGTTAGCACCCCCACTAATTAAAATGATATATAAAATAAAAAACTCAGTATGCTAGAATTATGTACTTTTTCTGTTTTCAAAAGCCTTAATTAAAATTAGCTTACTTGTTAATAATTTAAAAGATATACGCTAAAAAAGATCTATGCACCATTAATATAAAAGTAATATAAAAATAAAGCCAGTTAAAATATAGGTAGTGAATTGGTTTTTGTCTTAAAATGTTCCTCAATTTATGTGCTTTCGAAATATGCACAATGAGATTTTTGTATTCATCTCCTTCGGCCGACCCGAACGTGAGCACCACCATACTTGCAAGAGTACCAGCCGAAGCTCTTACAGAAATTTAATACTGTAAGTGATTATTTGGCTAGTGATTAATTATTTATTTCGAGTATTAAAAGTACTGTTTTTAATTATTTTAATACTCAAAATAAGTAATTAATTACTAGCCAAATAATCACTTACAGTATTCTATAAGAGAGGGGATGAGCACGAAATATTCATTGTGCATATTTCGAAAGCACATAAATTGAGGAACATTTTAAAACAAAAAACAATTTGTTATCTGTATTTTAACTGGTACTTTACTCTTGTAAATATAGTGGTGCTCACTTTTGGGGAGGTTTGTCGGCCGAAGGGAATGAGCACAAAAATCTCATTGTGTATATTTCGAAAGCACATAAATTAGAAAACATTTTAAGGGGATCCTGTAGCGAAGGCCGAACTTCCTCGGTGTCGATAATGTCAATCTTTTCTAATCCTGTTTTCTACGTTATACATATATCTATATCTGTCCTTGTCCGATTGCTGCGCTATTTCTCGCTACACGCAATACTGCTTATCCTATCAACCTGCATGTGCTTTTGCACATATAAAAGTTAGACACACTAAACTTTTTTTCTAGGCTTTTAATCTTAGTTCTAATTGCACGATATTGTTTTTAAATGTTTTCCCTAGAGCGCTTGTATCTCATTTTGTATATATAAACTGCAGTATTTTTGTATTAACCAAATATTATATCGTCAGTGACAGCTCTATATGTGCCCAAATTTTTAATTTTTTTTCGTTTTTGTTGTAAAATCGACCTGAGCACTTTACATTTTTGTGTGTACTTTAATTCTGTAAAAGAATTTTACAATTCCGTAAAGCCAATTAAAAGTTTAATGCATCCTCGAATGCATCTAACTAAATGTCGGTAACAACTGCCACTATAGGATCCCCTTAAGACGAAAACCAACCTATTAGAAGTTAGCCCCCCACTTTTAGAATTAACATATTTTCACGGTTGTGCTGAATTGTGCTAGGTTTGTGCTATATTGTGCTCGAATCTTATAACCATAATATGAAAAATACGAAAGAAAATTTAAAAAAACGAATTTTTAGGTCAGCCCTCCACTTTTCGTTTTTTTCAATTTTTTCGATTGTGCTGAGTTGTGCTAAGTTGTGCTAACATTGTGCTAAAATATTATTTAAAAAAAAATAATAACAGAAAGAGTTACGATAAACAAATAAATTATATCCAAAAATGATTTTTTTATCGTAACTTTTTTTGTTATTTTTTTAAAATAATATTTTAGTACAATGTTAGCACAACTCAGCAGAATCGAAAAAATTGAAAAAAACGAAAAGTGGGGGGCTAACTTAAAAATAATTTTTAACCTAATAATACCTAACCATTTTTCGTTTTTTTCAATTTTTTCGATTGTGCTGAGTTGTGCTAAGTTGTGCTAACATTATGCTAAAATATTATTTAAAAAAAATAACAACAAAAAAGTTACGATAAAAAAATATAATTTTTTTAAAATAATATTTTAGCACAATGTTAGCACAACTTAGCACAACTCAGCACAATAGAAAAAGTTGAAAAAAACAAAAAGTAGGGGGTTGACCTAAAAATTATTTTTTTTTATTTTTTCGTATTTTTCATATTATAGTTATAATATTCGAGCACAATATAGCACAAACCTAGCATAACTTCCCAGCACAACTTCCGGTTTTCTAAGAACAACAATGTAAAGAGCACTTTACTCTTAAACGCTCAAATTTTATAATTCAGATTTGTAATAATCTAGTGGTGAGTGTAATATTAATTACCTAAGACCTCTCTTTGTCATGCACTTATTGCATGCATATAAGCCGTTCCACCGCGACAAGGTGGAAGTCATTGGAACAGTTTATTTTTTTTTTGTTTTTTTTTTGTTTTTTTATTTTTTTTATTTTTTTTGTGTTTTAAATTTCTTTGTTTAATTTTTAAAATATTTTTTTATGCCATTTAAAATTATAATTAAAAAATTTATTATCTAAATGTAAAATAAAATGTATTTTAAATATCTAAATGTAAAAGAAGAACATTTTAATATCTGAATATATAATAAAAACGTATTTTGATATCTAAAAGTTAAGTAAAACGTATAATATAAAACCAACAGTTTATGATATTTCGTACTTTATTATTCTTGTTTATTATTGTTTTGTTTATTAATTTCTCTCTCTATAATTTTGAAAGTGTTATGCATAGAAAAAAATATCGTAACTTTTTTGTTGTTATTTTTTTTAAATAATATTTTAGCACAATGTTAGCACAACTTAGCACAACTCAGCACAATCAAAAAAATTGAAAAAAACGAAAAGTGGGGGGCTGACCTAAAAATTTGTTTTTTAAAATTTTCTTTCGTATTTTTCATAACTTCTATCTAACTTCTATATAATAGGTCGAAAATAACCAATGTCGCTATATGTATTTTAACTGGTATTTTACTCTTGTATGTGTATATGGTGGTGCTCACGTTCGGGTCAGCCAAAGGGGATGAGCACGAAAATCTCATTGTGCATATTTTGAAAGAACATAAATTGAGCAACATTTTAAGACAAAAACCAATTTGCTATCTGTATTTTAACTGACACTTTATTCTTATATTAATTGTTCATAGATCTTTTTGGCATATATCTTTTAAACTATTACAGACAGGCTAATTTTGTTTAAGGCCTTTAAAAGCATAAAAAAGCATACTGAGTTTTTTATTTTATGTAATTTTGCGTGGGTGCTAACTTACGTTAACCCAGCACCTCCACTTTCAATTGCGATTTCCCGCTGAACCGCTCGAGCTTGAAAATCGTGAATAGACCACATAAAGAGCACTCTGCATGTGTTATTTCGGTTTTTTGTGGGGGGGGGGGGGGGCTAACTTAACATCTATTTAGTTTCAGCAACTTTCCAATTGTCGCTGTAGATATTGAAATACCTCTTCAATTATGCAATAGCGATTACGGCGTGCAAGCAATCCTAGGCATAAGACATAATTCGCGCGGTAACGTTATATATACGATAGAATTTCCATTTTATTATTAGCGTGTATAATTCGACCGATGAATTACTTATGGAACGTGTGATTAAAAACAGTCGCGATCAATTATTGTGTGTCATAACCACTTATCAATCTTCTGTAATCTCGAGAAACGGATGATGAACACCTTTTCGATCCTGTTATCAACATTACGTAATAACATGAACAATCGCCGTTTGCCGTTTCGTGAAACTTCGGGAAATACGGTTCTTCATTATTTATCAGTAGTCCTTCATTGTTTGTCAGTTCATTATTTATCCAGTGTTTCAAGTGTACAGTGAAATGTCCACAGTTGTAATCTCATAATTTCAATTCTGTGTTTCGATGCGGAACGAACATATCTCTATATAATTTTCCTGGCAATTATGATATCGTAGAAATTTCGCCGATT